TTCCTTCTAATAGTGAGCTTAAAGATAAGTTTGAAACAAAAAGCAGAAATAAACGTATTTAAACAAAACAATTTGAATTATATATTGTTTCTGCATACTTTCTCCTCTCTGAGAAAAAATAATGGGAAGAAATATATGACTGACTTGTATAATAAGGACAAGAGAAAGTTCTTACTTTCTGATGCTTGGCTCCGCGGATATGTGCAGCATAAGCATCTGCTCCTGTACAAGATACATCACAAAGCTCACAGCGCAACTGATTTTGAGTTCCACGAGCAGAAGTGCTGCTGCTATTGGTGTTCTGGGAAGCTTTTAATGCCACTTCTTTCTTTTTGTGTTTCTGGCCTTCTAAGTGTTCTTTATAAGTCTGTTTAAATAAACAATACAACTGGTTTTGTACTGCTCCTTCATCATTCATGTGTATACATGTAATATAGAACATAGCATAAAACACATGCTTTGTATGAAAAATACTTCCTACACTGAACATTTCTTCCATATGACCTGTTATAAGGCATAAGCAGGCCACTTCTAAAACCAAGAAATTTTCTTTACCACCAGGATTACACTTTTAGGTAATACAATATGGTCCTTTCTCCTCTACCTTCTCACTTCCTCAATCAAGTACTGGTCAATATATATTACCATTGAAAGCTTGATAAGATCAGAACACTGCCTCAGTTGCAGTTTCCTACATTGCATTGAATTATTCTTGATTTTGAATTTTCCTCAAACTGCAAGACCACAGTTATTAAATGTATCCAGACAATTAAAAAAATAAGTTCAAAAGAAGGTAGTGCATAAATAAAGCTGTGCTGAAAATAAAATACAGAAGTTGCTATTTGTTCCTATACTAACACTGGCAATCTATAGAGCAGACACGGTGGGAAATAATGACAAATTTACCTAAAGAGTAAGAACTGTTTAGCCAAACACACACACACACAAATACTGCATGAATTGATATCTACTTTTTATGCACTTGTACCCACTGTGAAACTAAACTGGGATGCTGGAATACAATGAATACATTTTCAGGCTTACCATTCACAAAGTTTTGAAAAAAGTATTTTCTTAGAAGTTCGCTATGCTAAAAAACAAAATTCAAAGTTTAGAATACTTCTGGAGTCCAAAGCACAGCTGAACCTTCTCTGTACAAGCTAAAGGGATCCATCTTTTTGTCTTCTCATATGACCTCTTTCTGTAATAGCACACATTTTCATTTCATTATTCCTTTAGTATAAGTATAGAATCAGGTCTTTAAAAATTAACAAATATTCCTGAAGGGGTCATTTTTTTTTTAGCTGAAAAAATGACTTAATTGTATAGCAGAATATCACATAATACAGCTACCTGTGGTCCAGCACAGCTGATCTTACAAACATCACAGTAGTGGATCTGGGGCGGTTTGGGAGGTTGCTTTGGTTTCAGTTGCTTATTTTGGAATGGTGCCTTTTTAGTAAAGGTGGTCCCTGTCCAAGCAGCTGTTGCAGCAGCAGCAGCTGCTGCCACTGCCTGTTTCTGCTGCTGCTGGTAATAGGATGATGCAGCTGAATACACTGCAGCTTCATAGCCAGAATAAGAGGTACCTCAAAGATCAAAATAAAATTAATGTTACATCACTGTACATCATATATCAATTACATAATACACTAATTCCAAGCATATTGCATAATAGAGTTGAGAGGAGGGCAAGTTATAAATGATTTATTGAGATGTTGTCAGGCAGTCTGAATTTTTCTTGATGTTTCACAATACAGAAATACATAGTATACCACTTGTATCAGGAATATATTTGATTTTAGACAAAACTTTGCAGACATGCTGTTCTATTAAGATATATCAAAGCATCCCTAAAGAATATGTGAAATTTCCTGGTACATCTGGTAAGACCAAGTATGATATAACAAAAATTTTAATAAAAGATTTATCAAAGGCCACTTAAGTAAGCAGTCTTCCAGAGACAGATTTACTGTTCAAGTTCCAAACTGAAAAGGACAGATATTATGTAGAAGAAGGGAAAAAAATAAAAGAAGATAGAAGGGCTAGTGCTATTACATTCTATTTCAAGTGGGTTGCTTGCCTGCTAAAACCTCTGCAGTACACCCTGTCTAGAAACTGCTTGATTTCTAGTATCAAAGTTTAATAAATCAAGGAAACTGGGTTTTCATACCTTTTGAGTCAGTTTTCCCATAAAATTTATACATCTACTGGTTCAACTATTTTAATTCTCTGATCAAGTTCTGTTTAACGAAGTCTTAATGAAGTCCCTTTTTAAACAGGAAACAAAGCAAAACAAATAGTTCAAGGTAGCTATAATATGCCAGTTGATTACCATCTGGCCATAAAATTAACATCTTTTCACCTTTAACTACTTTTTGGATTTCTAATGTTTGGAGGAAAGTTTTTTTTTGTAGCACTGTTATAGTTTAGTTAAATGGAGATTTTTTGGTTGAACTCTTTCATATCATCATATAGTTTTGGAGGGCACGAGGGACACCTCCCCCCTCTCTCCGCACAGGGTGAGGGCAGAGAGGGATAAGGGGGTCCCATCGGGAAGTGCCACGAGAACTGAGTGGGATAAAATTTGCTAGAACTACAGGAACTTGCTCTCTCTGGTTCCGGTAGGGAGTATGAAGGCAGAAGCGTGGTTGGGCTGCTCTCTCGCTGTGTTTTTTTTTTGGTTCTTGCCGTTTTTGGTCGCCTCACCTCCTCCCCATTTAGATGAGGGGACTGAGTCCATCATTAGCAAATTTGCAGATGACACCAAGTTGGGAGGGAGTGTTGACCTGTTGGAAGGCAGGAGGGCTCTGCAGAGGGACCTCGATAGGCTGGAGAGTTGGGTTGATTCCAATGGGATGAAGTTCAACAAGGCCAAGTGCTGGGTCCTGCACTTTGACCACAACAACCCCCTGCAGCGCTACAGGTTGGGGACAGAGTGGCTGGAGAGCAGCCAGGCAGAAAGGGACCTGGGAGTTTGGATTGACAGGAGGCTGAACATGAGCCAGTAGTGTGTCCAGGTGGCCAAGAAGGCCAATGGCATCCTGGCCTGCATCAAGAACAGTGTGACCAGCAGGAGGAGGGAAGTGATCCTTCCCCTGTACTCAGCACTGGTGAGGTCACACCTGGAGTATTGTGTTCAGTTCTGGGTCCCTCAGTTCAGGAAAGACATTGAGGTGCTGGAGTGGGTCCAGAGAAGAGCAACGAGGCTGGTGAAGGGACTTGATCACGAGTCCTATGAGGAGAGGCTGAGGGAGCTGGGGTTGTTTAGTCTGGAGAAAAGGAAGCTCAGGGGTGACCTCATCACTCTCTACAACTACCTGAAAGGAGGTTGTATCCAGGTGGGGGTTAGTCTCTTCTCCCAGGCAATCAGCAGTAGGACAAGAGGGCACAGGCTTCAGCTCTGCCAGGGGAGGTTTAGGTTGGATATTAGAAAGAAGTTCTTTACAGAGAGAATGATCAGGCATTGGAATGGCCTGCCCAGAGAGGTGGTGGATTCACCATCCCTGGAGGTTTTTAAGAAGAGGCTGGATGTGGCACTGAGTGCCATGATCTAGTAATCACAGTGGGGTTGGATCAAGGGTTGGACTTGATGATCTTGGAGTTCTCTTCCAACCCAGTTAATTCTATTCTATGATTTTTCTCACTGCCAGGAGCAGTAGCCACCACCAACCCACACTCCAGCTTTGCGGTTCCCATGCCAAGCAGGGCTCTCCCATTGCCACAGTGACCGCTGTGTTCTGAGGGCTGCCGGCACCTCTAACGGCTGTGGCTGCAGTGGTGCTGAAAGGACTTGAGAGCTCCCTTTTGTGAACTTTCACACGTCGCCCACTCGCGCTGCCACAACTCTGCTCTGGCTACATTGCGATCACATGACCCCATTAGGACTGCGCCACCATCTTGACAGCACAGAACTGAGAGAGTGGTTTTAGGTGACATTTTCTTTGTTATTGTTTTGTTCTGTTCTCTGCTTTTAGTAAAACTGTTAATTATTTTTCTACTTTACTCAAACGTCTCATAATTTCAAAATATTTCGTAATTTGGGGGCAGTTTTTACTTCATTGGAGGTCCCGCCTCTTGGGACATATTGTCATTTAACTAAGACAAGTACCTATTCTCCTCCCATCTTGGGTCAAGACAACCCAAACTTACAAGATTTATAGTGGACTGCTCCTCCTTGTCTCTGTAATTGCTGTTTGATGGCAGCATGCTCCAAATTTCCCTGGGTTATATCTGTGTGGATGTGTTTCCTTATTTTTTCTATCCCCCATCTTTTGTCTCCAAATTTTACAGTAAGTCACAAAACACTTGTGCACATAGCAATGCTAACACTTTGTATATTCTCACATGTAACAAAATAGGCATATACAATCATCAAACCTCTTTTAAAGATACATAAAAACATCTTGCCATTATTATGATTTAACTGGTTGATAGTTCTCAGTAGACTATGATGTAATTGAACACAAACTGCTAAAATGCTGAGTATTTAAATCCTCTCCTATAACAACTGCAAAGATCCCAGCAACATAATATGCAAAATTCTTACCAGAGTAAGTAACTGCTGTTGTACTGTATGTTGCACTTTGAGTATAGGATGGAACAACAGTAGCTGCAGGTGCTACTGGCTGCACAGTAGAGGATACTGGATATATAGAAAACGTAGTTGTTGCTGGACTTGGGGTTGCAGGTTTTATAGCTGTCACTTGTCGTGTTTGCTGGGCTTGGGTATACTGCGTTGCCCCTTGGCTATATCCTGCTTTTGGAGCTAATTAGGATAGAAAATAGAAGTGTATAAACATTGATGTGCTTTAGTTGAATGAAATGCAAACCATATTAAGTGATATTTTAGGATATGCTAGGGAATAAACACATTAGTGGGTTTTGGTTTAGTTTGGTTGGGTTTTGCCTTTTTTTCATTGAGTTTTCAGTTGGCTTTTGGGGTTTTTCTGGGTTGGTTTTGTTTTGTTTTTTTTTTTACAGTAATGGTTATGCATGATCTACCATATATCCCACAACTGTTTAATCACGTCACAGCTCACACTTGTAAACCTCAGATTTATTTATGTATTTTTAACTGTGCTGTCATATTTTTAAACAACCTTCTTGTTCAGTGGTTTTACTAGAGTACACACTAAACCAAAGTACATCTAAACTTTCCTATTATTTCTAATTACAATAAAAAAAGTAAATAGGATTTACGTTTTGTAGTATTTATGATACCAATAATCAAAGAACTATATACATTAACTAAAGAATCTTAAAAAAAAGTCTTTCTAACCAGGTTATCATCTGAATCCACCACTGACTTTTTCAACCTACTTCAGTAAAAGTGTTTGCCTAGAAGTACATTTTGAGTGTATTAATAACAATCCAAACCTCAAAGACAGTTACTTATAGCAATGTCACAATAATGTTCAAGTTCTAGGTGCATCAAGTTTTTCTACACATTGACAGGGATTACATGTCAAAACAATAAATAAATCTGATAACATGAAATATTCAAAGACATATTTTAAAGCTATTAAAATAGTACACAGACTGTGCATAATGACAGGAGTTTGAATTATGCTACCCACCTGTCTGGTAATATGATTCAGCCACTGAAGGTTGAGGCTGGGCAGCAGCAGCCACAGCTGCCACAGTTGCTGTTGGTTGTTGATAGTATTGTTTGCTGTCATAAGCTACAGCTGGGGCAGTAGATCGAACATAAGAATAGGAATCCTAAAAATTCAAAAAAGAAAACCCATCAAATTTCTCCTTAAGTATATATCTGGAGTAATAAAAATCACTACAAGAGTCAAAGAATTTTCTTCTACTTAAGTAGATTTAAAAAAACATTTACAGATATGGTATATACTAATATATGCATTAAAGAAATTAAATTTATGTTTACAGATACATCAGGCCTGAAGACAACCCTGATGGTCTTTTTCAGACATAATATAGGAATTAATCTCATGCTATTAAATCACTTTTTCCCCTTCCAAATTATTTTTGTTACCAAAAAGCAACTCATTGCACACTAGTTTTTCATAATGACTGTATCAGATTACATTCCTCTAAAAAAAGGTAAAAAAGCCACCAAAGATCTCCATAAACCACAATATATTCACAAGTTTACAAACATGGAACCATGCCCTGCCCTCCCTGAGACAAGAAGAGCCACCAGAAAAAAAAAATCAATATCAAGGGGGTCCTGTGTCTTTCCCTTGGGGCAGGCAGAAGGCAGTAGCTCAAAGAAAAGGGGTGAATGGAGACAAGTCCTTGCTCAGGGCAGCAGATGAATCCCCACCTTGCCCAACTCACCCTCCTAGGTGCCTCTGTACAAAAGGTATGAGGATGTAGAAGGCCAGTCAAAGGATGATAAGGATGAAGGTCCATCTACACCTGTGTGTTCCTCAGCACAGGAAAGACATGGACCTCTTGGAGCAGGTCCAAAGGAGGGCCACAAAGATGATTAGAGGAATGGAACACCTTTCCTATGAAGAAAGGCTGAGAGAGTTGGTGTTGTTCAGCCTGGAGAAGGCTCCAGGGTGACCTTATTGTGGCCATTCAGTTCTTAAGGGAAGCCTATTAGAAAGATGGGGACAGACTTTTTAGTAGGGTCAGTTGTGATAGGACAAGGGGTAATGGCTTTAAACTAAGAGGATAGATTTAGATTAGATATAAGGAAGAAGATTTTTACAAGGGTGATAAATCACTGGAAGAGGTCGCCCAAAGAGGCAGTACGTGCCCCATCCCTGGAAACATTCAAGATCAGATTAGATGGGGCTCTGAGCAACCTGATCTAGTTCAATATGCCCCTGCTCATTGCAGGGGGGTTGGACTGGATGACTTTTAAAGGTCCCTTCCAACCCAAATTATTCTATGATTCTATGAGTCATTATTGGCTTTAAAAATCCCATCACCAACAATACTTTTCTTGGTTATATTTCTTAAAGTATGAAAGGGATACTTTTATAGCCTTCTCTACTTTTTGGTCTATCAACTATTCCACTGGGGAACCATACCCAGTTTATAAGAGCAAGGCAAGTAGTCCATTTGAAACCTCCAGAACTTAGGAGATGGTTAGTAAGCTTAGAAAGGGAGGGCTTGGAAGACACTATGTACATGTACATATATTCTCCTATCCTCACCATATTTATAGCAAAGCACAGAGTTGATCAACTGGGGGGTAGCAAGGCATGAACTACATTGGCTAATGCATACAATTTCTTTTTATTGCAAAGAAATATAACAATAAAATCTCTTTTCCATCCCACTTATGTAAAGTAGAATTATTTTTCTTTAATTTAGGGGACTCTTTTCTATCTGAATGCATCTAATAACTGACTAGTTTAACAAACTTGTAATTATGAGTAAACATGCTACTGGAAAGACTCCTACATTTCTATTCGTTACCATATGTAACAAATTACAAAGCCATACAAAGGAATTTATACAGCAACAGTATAGTAGCTTTAAGCAAATAAAAATGCAGATTAGAATCTAGATAATGCTTTGATAAAGTTAGGACCAAAAGTTAAAGAATTTTTACAAAGGACATACTATTTCAATGTCCTCTGTCTCATAGTAAACGCACATTTTAACTGAGTCACACCATGAGTTTGATAACTTGCGCATAAAACACCAGCCTAGAAATATCCACTGAAGATTGACTAACAAATGCTAATGTACCAAAAAGCTGATAAAAATACAAATAAAGCTCACATTTCTAATGGGAAACTACCTGGCCATGTAAAACCCCTCATCTTTCTGCATCTAAGCTGTCTGATTGAAACTGATGGGCTGGGGTTACTGATATGTATATACCCTTGCATTTTGTCAATCTAGGCAGACAGAAAAGAATGCAATTTCTCACTCAATCGAGTAAACACTTATGTTAAATAAGTCCCAAGATAACCTCTACAGACAAATCTTCCAACTGCAAAACTGATGCAACACTCTGATTTGTACTAAGTTTATTCCTGAAGAGGAATAAAAGTCACTGACAGGATGTTGTTCCATACAACATTTAAACCAGTTTAAGAATGAGAAGTTGTCTGAGGTACCATGATCCTACATGCCCTACATGATCCCACCTCCATCTCTTGCATTGACACCACAACTGTGCAGAAACAAAAAATTTCTGCAGAAGCCTGTCAATCCTGTGGAAAGCTGCTATTCCTTTTTTAGTTGGTTAGCTTTCTGTGGAATCCTTATCCTGAACTGACCCACCCAAATGCTGACAACTGCTAGATTCAACATGAGGAAGTGTCACTAAAGGTCAGAGCAAGATGAAAACAGACAATTTCCTTTTGTAAAAGCCTGTAGCCACAAAAGGTTAGGCAGTGGTCTCAAAAAGGGTACCCAAAATCTACCCAAAAGACAGTCCCTCTTCTAGGGTAATCTATCCTCTTACATTTGGTGCTAGAGCTCCTGTAGCAAAGAGGAATCTGACAAGGGAACTACTATCTCCCACTGAAAATTTATCAGAACAGTTTTTTCATCTAAATCAGTTCCATGACTCGTTTTACTGCATGCCACTTGAGCATTTAGGTTAGCTGAGACAAGTATTACAGCAGCAGTTCACAAACTTATTTGGAGATAAATGTCAATTCATTGCTTATTGCATGAATGTCTAAATCTTAGTTTCTGAAGTATTACTGCTGATAATCTTCTGCAAGCACGATACAAGACTGCAGTCACTTCATATTCTATCAGTTTTAGCTGCGATTTATTGAAGAAAAAAATATAAATAGTATGTTCTCTTATCCAAATAGGCCTCCTCCTTTTAACATATCATTTAAAAATTACACAAGTAATTGTTGATTTTTTTTTTTTTAACACACCTGGTAATTCTGCGTAGTGACAGGAGGTGGTGGTGGTGGAGCTTCTTGTTGCCTCTGTGTATAACCATAATCTGTAGCTGTGTGCGCTGTAGGATAGCCTCCATAAGCAGTAGCTGTTGCAGCAGCCGCAACAGCTACTGGAGCAGGCCTGGCTACTGCAACTGTAGCTGCTGCTGGAGCATAGGCTGCAGTTACGGTGTGCGCAGCAACCGGTGCCTGGTGGACAGTGTAGCTGGCAACTGTAGTTGGATGGGAATAAGCTACACCCGAAGCTGGCTGCTGGCTACATTGGAAAAAGATAGTAAGTAAATAATTAGATTAATTCAACATACTAAGCTAATGCCTAAACATTTCAAACTCCCAGATTTGATTAATACTTGTCTGTTCTACAAACAGACCTGAAACAGCTATTATACACTTTACCAGCTTTTATTACCTCTCATTCACCCCCATTAAAAAGGCTGTATCATTTTGAAGTTTCTCTGAATGCAGATATGTCATGCAGGTGATGACTTTCTTCTTAGCAAGGAGTGGTGGTGGTGATGTTCCATTGCTTGAAAAGGACCCAAGTCTTTCATTCAAAATAAAACAGAAGTCTTACACAGTTATCTTTTAACGACTGATAAGTTTTTAAGTGTTTTAATGGTTCTTCAATAAAACTGATTGTAAGAATAGATATCCTTTCTGGAAGATTTATGGCAAGGAGATTAGAGCTTATTTCACTTAGGAATGCTTTCCTGCTTAAGAAGCAGCACCTTGCTCAAAGAAAATTTGGTTGTTTTCTCCTCTTCCATTCCAGAGGAGACTTACATGGTATGAGGAGAAAGAAACTCATACAGGCTACAGGTCTCCATGTCAGAGAGGGCCTGGGGGGGGGAGAGGCCAGAAAAGATAAAAAACCTTGAAGGGAACAGGAGGTGTGTCTGAGGCAGTGCTTTTTCCAGCACTGCTAGAAGTTTTTCCCTTGCAAGTCTAGTGTTCTGAACTTTGGAATAAATTTTTTGGAACTCCTTCCACTGCTTGACATTTTGGGGATGCGTGCATGTTAACTTACTTCACACTGATATTCCTGTCAAATTAAGAAAAATACTACTTTTCTGTGAGAGCTCATTACTGATATGCACTTGCACAATGTTTTTCAGTTAATCATATTAAAATAATGAGAATTTCCATGAAAAATAGCTCAGAACTCTTAAATTTAAGGTAGAGACACTTTAAATATTTCTGATACGGGATTTTTCCCACAAAAATTGAAAATTATAAAAGCTGGCACCACTCGCTCATACAGAAGTCCACTGCCTCACAACATGAAGCATCAAATGAACACAGTTAAGTCGAGCAAGACGACTGCTAGCAGAGTTCTAGCAATCTTCCAGGTACATGCTGAGACTAATTTGCTTCTCTTAAATGTGCAGGTAGGACATTAATATGTGGCTATTTAAAAAGAATGAGTAAATATTAACAGTGGAAATAAAAAATGATGGCTTCAAAGGCTTAATTATTTTAACTAAAACTAATATTGTTGTCCTATACTGATCTATAACTGTGCATTATTATTATAAGCCTACAATAGCTATTTTTATTTTTAAACAAAGTGAACTAGACAAAATATCACTATGATATAAAATAGGGAACTGAGTGATTATTATGAAATTTTTAGTACACTGTACTGCTTTTCAAGATTTAAGAATAGGGTTTCACATCTCCATAGCACAATTAAAAGATTATCCCGTAATTTTTAGAAGAAAACAGAAAAATGAAATCTCACTGGAAGCCAACATACTCAGTGGCAAATTGGAATTTCAACATGTTTATGCTCAAAACCAAAAGGAACAAGTTACAGTGTTTTTTTCCTAAAGACTCCAATATTCTCTCTGACATAACTATCAGAAACAAAGCACCTTTTAACTATAGTTGCTATTATTTTTGCAAAAGACATTTCCATAACTTTGTTTAATAACTTATTTTTTAAAGAAAAACTGATTTTGTAATTTTAATTACAGTAGAACCCATTGGGAGCCCCTGGTGGTCTAGTGGTTAAGGGCGCGGCGCTGTCACCGCCGAGGCCCGGGTTCGATTCCCGGTCAGGGACACTCCCCGGGCAGATGGAGATCGTTAGCCCTGTAAAGGCAATCCATCTACGTCCTGAGGACCTCGCTGCCACCGTCCAAGCTCGCTTGGACCCGGCAGATGAACCTTAGGATTAAAGGGTGGGCTCAGTTCCGCGCACACTGTGTCTCACCTAAAAAAAAAAAAAATCCAATGCGCAGGCTGGAAGGTGTAAAGACCTTCCCCAGATCTTCGCTTGCGAAGACTGGCCATTATTATTATTTTAGAACCCATTAACTTCAATATATTTTTTAAAAATTCTTACAGCAGAAACTTGGAGAAAATGTTATTATGGGACTTACACACCTGGATTCCACCTTCTTCCCATCTTAGGCCCCTGTTTGCTTAAAAAGCCACTTGCATTTCATCTAAATTTAATTCAGTTGGGAATTGTTCATTTTATTTTCAACTTCTTTGCAGTGGAAGGAAAAGACCTGAACTGCTCTGCTATAGCTCCCACCACTGCTTGAAACAATTCCTCCTACTTGATGTATATAGACAGTTTCTCTGTTTTGTCAGCTTAAAGTGAGAAATCAGACTCCATCAGAAAATTCAGGAAGACTATTTTATGATGGTAAAAGTGAATGACAATCTATAAAATTAGGCTGTATTATCTACATAACAAACAGTAGAGAAGCGTAAAATATTAAAATGTTCTGAGGTAATTCACATAATCATATGTATCTACTAAAAATACATTACATTGGGAAAACAGGCAGCAGACTTTATCTCAGACTGCACTTGAACACATCAACAGTCTAATACTGCCAACAAGGAAAAGTCTTGCTCCCCACTCTTATTCTTCCTTCCTCCCATATACCAAACCTGGCTATGCCATCTTATTCCATCCCTAGTGCTAGTTCTGCTACTTGTCAAGCTATTCAGTGCACTGATTTACCTCAATCTAGCAGAAAATTATGAGATTATGTTTTTGCTGAGCTCATTTTCTAATGCAGTATAAATGTTAGAAACATTGTAGCTCACAAAACAGTCTGCTGAGTGCTAGAACCCACATAAGTTATATATGTGGAAGGAGAGGAAAACAATGGGAGAAAGAAAGAGAACAGGGACCTGCCAAAGAAGCATTAATTTGGCTCAAATTTCATGAAACCATGCTTAAATTACTACTACAAAGTACAATACAGTGTTCACAACACACTACGAGATAACAGTATCAGTCAGTTTATCAAAGAAAGTACTTTTGTTCTCAGAATATATATATATATGATTTAAACTGCCTGACAGTTTTCAGTGTTTAATATTGTGAAGACATTGTGATCATTATGATCAGGACTATTAGCAAGATTCTGCTAACAGACAGTTTCATTTCTTCTGTGCTATTTTTGTATCAAACTTCCTTATCATGGTATAGAATTAACAGCCCAAATAATTTGATTTCTAAGGCTAATATAGTTCTATGACCATGTCTATTTTAGCAAATCTGTTCCCCTTGCTTCTGCAACACCATGCAGAACTAGCAACCAAGTTTGCAAGACTACAAGAAAAATATTCTAGAATTGACTGCTACTTCATTTTTAAAAGTTACATTACACTATGTTACAGAAATTCATGTCAACATCTTTTCTAAATTTATGATGTTTCTTTTTCTCCCCATGGTCTTACTGAGAACCTTTTAACATTAAGATGACCAGATACTTTCAGGTAATTAATTTATAATCAAAATATTTTTATGTCAGCTTCATTTAACTTACAAGAGTTTTTTAATCCTTCTTTGGTGATTAGTGCCGCATCACATTTGCCAAGATGAACTTATCTCCTCCCAGACTATTTTGCCAGACTCCCTCTTCCACTGATCTTTCCTGCAATTGTTCTTTGCACCTATCCTAGTATTATCTATTCTTTCTTCACTACAGATGGCAAGAACTGTATGCATCATTTCAGATGAACTTGCAGCTGTGCCACTCGCTCTGCTCCAGACTACTTTCTTTCCAAACAGTCTAGATTCCTCAGAGCAGTTATCTGAATATTGATATTTTCCTTGTATCAATTATCACAATACACCACACTAATATAAAAAATAAGTAAGACTCAAGACCAATCCCTAGGGTACTCCACTGCAATTATTCCTATTTGCTAATCACTCCTCTAATTCTACTAACCACCTCTACCAGTTCCATCTCTACAATTTTTTTACTAATCTCTACTTTAAGTAAAAATTTTACATATTGCACCACATCACGTATTTCAACTTAGTCCTAATAAATAAGACTCAAAAAACTTAGGCACTTGATCAAGTTATTAGAGCAACAATGAAATACAGTATGTCAGCTGAGCTATGGTAACAAACCACATGTGTGTTTTTTACCACAAAGAAAGTAATTCAGTTTAGCTTAATTCCCCAACACAGTGTGAAAAAGTTGAACCAAAGTGAAGCAGGAAGGGTTAATCGAAACACTTTTACTGTAAACCCACAAGAGCCCCCCTTACCCCCCGTATTTCGTTTAATGTAAGTTGTACTTTTACAAGAAGGCTATGTTCTGTATTAAGAGCATTAGACCTTAAAGGAACCACAACAAACACTAGACAAAGAACTCAACACACATAAATCTCATCCAGAGGAGCCAAGGTAGACATTTGAATAGGTAAAGTAGGCCTAGAGCCAAAGGTCTCTTCAAGCCTGGACGATCAGGACACAAGAACAATGGATAGAACAAAAGGTCACGGATGTCACCCGAGGAAGATGAGTAAAATGCAGACCCCAGGATGAAGGCAGGCAGGAACTCCCACCATAATATTCCTCAAAATAGAGACCACGCCTCAATCTCCACCCCGACTCCACCTGCTATGAATATTGTAATCTAATGATGCAATAATATGAATATGCATGTGATTATGTTGTAATCATGATTAGAAACTGTATAAATTGCTTGTTTTTACTGAACCACTTCAGAGCTTTTTGTCCAGCCTGAGCTGGAAGCTACCCCGGCGTCGTTAATCATTCAATAAATACCTGCTGTTTATAGGTTCAAAATTCTGCCTTTAAGCAGTTTTATTATCTGCCTTTTTTTTGGGCATCAAAAGTACAAGCAGACAGAGAAGCTAACTGATTGACCTGGAACCTTAGCAGGTTTTCTTTGTAGATCAATTCTTCTCTTCCCCAAAATAAATTCTAATATCCCTATTAGCATCTTTGAGTTCAATGAATTCTAGTGCTCTTCATGTGAAAAGATATGCAGTCCAACTGGCTTTACTAACTAGACTGAGCTTAAAAGTGACAGAATAATTTAGGCTGACACAAAGATTATGAGGTCATCTGTTCTAACCCTGTGCTCAAAGCACAGCTAATTTGAAAGTTGCGTTAAGTTTCCCAGGGCTTTGTGTCCAGTCAGGTTCCAATCATCTGAAAGAAAGGAAAATCCAAGACTACTCTAGACAACCTGTTCCAATGTCTGAGCATTCTCACTGTCAAAAATTTTTTCCTTAGTTTATAAAAGATTCAAT